ATTTTCTCATAGACTTCTATACAACCAGAGGAGTCGCCCCCTGGTGGACACTAGAGAGAATGCAGCTTTAACACATGAAGCTTTGACTTCACTCTTCAGAGGTTGTCTCGTGGGTAAAACGCTGTGTAAAGTGTAGTGACCGATATGGTGCAGCATTCTTTGATTTCTTAAAATACACTCTAGAACTCAGTAATTATTAATTAAAGTATTGAAATCGTGTGAAAATGAAGCGTTCATGACCTCCTGTGGTGGACGTCTTCAGACGTATTTCAGAAGTGGACGGTGAGCTGAGGCCTCTCCTCAAACCCCACAGTGGTATAAGTGTTCATGTGTTATGTAATTATTGATATGGAAGTATTGATCTGTGTAAGTGGATACGTGTGTTGGCAGGATGCAGCATCCCAGCAGAGTCGTCCTCTCACGTTAGCAGTGATGTTTGGAGATATTAATGTTTCATATGAATCTGTTTTATCTGATATATATATATTTATATTTGTGTGTCGACACCAAACAAGAAAACAACCAATGAAGCGCTCCGCCTGCAGCCTCGAGTCGTCCGAACTGATCGAATGATTTAAAACCTGCAACAGTTTTATCATCGTTTCAAATAACACGACGTCAGAAATGACGGTTCTGAGTGCTGGACTTTCTCCAGGAATCATTTGCTCTCTTTCAGTTGTTTTGATCGTATCTGCGCTCTGACGATGTTATCGAGCTGTTGCAAGACGACAGAAACGTGTAGCAACTCTTTTGCATCATGTGGAGTCATGAAGCAGCGTTGATGTCTGTTGTGTGTGTGTTGAGCTTCTGCAGCAGTGAAATGTGAGTTATACAGGAATGAAAAAAAACAACAGCACTGTGATCAGATGTCTGGTGTAGCTTCCTGTTAGCGGTCGCCCCTGGGACGAGTCACTGAGCTCAACACTTGTGTTGGCGGTGTGTGCAGACACGAGAGGGGAAGTGAAGGCTTCACATCAGCAGCTTTCCTTCATTACTCCTCTCAAAGATGTCGGTGAGTTTACCTGTGAGGCTTGTTCCGTGCTAATTGTGCAGTTTGTGATGAAATGCATTTTGATTCATTCTGTTTTTCCTGACAGGGAATCGGGGCCCCGGGCTCCTCGGGGGTCGCGACCGGCCGAGCCGCCTCCAGCTCCTCGGGGATGTACAAGCTGGAGGTCGAGCTGAAGAGAGGACGCAATCTGGCCGTCAGAGACAGAAGAGGTGCAGTTAGAACATCTCTTCTTCTTGCTGCTTTGTGTCTTCATCCGTCACAACTTTGACTCGTCTTGTTTTCAGGCAGCAGCGATCCGTACGTGAAGTTCAAGCTGGCTGGTAAAGAAGTGTTCAGAAGCAAAACCATCCACAAAAACCTCAACCCGGTGTGGGACGAGAAGACCACTCTGATCATGGACTGTCTGAGTGAACCTCTGTATGTGAAGGTAAGCACACACACACACACACACACACACTCTCAAGCTTTTCCATATGAATTATAAATGAATGAAGTCAAGAGTCAGCAGAGATTGGTTGTGTTGCTGCTCTGCAGGTGTTTGACTACGACTTCGGCCTCCAGGACGACTTCATGGGTTCAGCGTACCTTCACCTGGAGTCTCTGGAGCAGCAGAGGTGAGTCGCCTCCCCTTCACCTCTGTGAACTCAACTCTCCTCAGCTCCATCACTGCACCTGTGCATCAGATTTACCTGCTCTTCATACTCCAGCCACAACACAATCATACAATAAGCCATATTTGGATATTAAAAATAGCAACATTGGTGTGGTTGTTGTGTGTTTTAAACGCAGTTTGTTTGGTAACGTCTGTTCAGAGCATGTGGAGATATTAATGTTTAAAATCAAGAAAACCGTTTTGTAAATCTGAGGTGAAGGTTTCGAGTAGTTTATCATCAGTAGACTGTCAGCTTTAAGTGGTTCTAACATATTGATCCAGAGAAACACTGAACATAAAAGCCTTCAGAAGATCTCGTTGATGTGTCAAATTAAGAATGACTACCTGAGAGTCTCTGAGCCTTTAGAGAGAGAGAGAGAGAGAGAGAGAGAGAGAGCGAGAGAGCGAGAGAGAGAGAGAGAGAGA